AGAGAGATATAGAGATAGAGGATATATGTAAACCCTAACCCTAAAGCTCAATCTCTGAAAATGTTGTCTAAATTGTCTAACCCCTGAACAAGAGAGAAGAGGTTCTCTTTTTTTTTTTTTGGGTAAGTAAATCATAAAATAAAGACAATAAAATGTACAAGTTTACAAGGGGCATACCCCAGGTACGCCCTACCATAAATAATAAACAACTAGTTTTGTAAAGCTTCCAAAGGAAGCTAACAAGAGGGCAATCCCTCCATATGGAGGGGGTGACAGTGTATGCCAGCTGCACAAAAATATCTGCAAAAGAAGATGCACAGTAGTCGGGCGGCCAAAAATGCAATTTGGCCAAAATAGATGGCCGGTCAACCATTTATAGTGCCGGCCAGCCGAGCATTTGGCCGGTGGCAACAAAACACAGCCGGTGGCCACAAGCCATGGCCGGTGGAGTGTGGGGATGGCCCACAAGCCATTCCCTGCCCCTCCAAGGCAAAGCACAAGTGCTTGGTGCAAAACCAGACACAAAACAGTGGAGTCGAGAGATCTTGAGGGAAGGTGCATAGCTGAGACCTCCGGGAACTCAAGACGAACACAAACATGGATGATCACTGAGTGTTCAAGAGGTGACGTCCAAGTCTTGAGGACGGTCAAAAGTGGGGTGTCTACAGAGTGTTCGAACCCTAATGCATGAGAAATGGCAAGTAAAACAAGCATTCAGAGAAGGAAAGTTGCATTAGACATTCAAGAACAAGGAGGCACATCGGCCATATGCAGAGCTTACATTGTCTAAAAAAACAAAAACGTACAAGAGTACAAGCGACAAAAAAGGAAAAACTTCAAAAACTGAGGTGATGCTTAACCGAAGTTAAGCCGAGATGATGCTTAACCGAAGTTAAACTGAGATGATGCTTAACCGAAGTTAAGCCGAGATGATGTTTAAACCGAAGTTAAAATGAAATGATGTTTAACACTTGTTAAAATTCTGAGAGTGCACAAAGTTAAATGTCGGCAAAAGATTTGCCGGAGTCAAACGTCGTTTTGATTAGAACAGAACCACTAAGTGCACGCTAGAAGTGGTGACCAGAATTGTGAAAGGAATAAATGTTTCAAGAAACAGCGATGATAGTTTGCAAAGGTCAAGAGAAAGAGGGTCTAAAGGGGGTGCATTAAATACCAGAAGTTTTAATACATTGGTGAAAGCAGAACATATCAGGTCTGTAACTACAGCACGAAGCCAACTTCCCTAATGTGATCCTAAGTACAACTTATGTTCACATTAGGGGATAGGGAGAAGGTGCAGGGGGAAGGAATGATAATTAAGGAGCAAGGAATGTTAACACTTGTTAAAATTTTTGAGCAAATTACAAGATGAGTTAAGCGAAGATTATGAAATCTACCACTTGTTGAAATTTGTAGCAATTTACAAGTTTGGTATAGCCGAGATAACACTGAAAGACGTTTCCGAGATATGATCATCCGAGATGACCAACTAGCTTGTTAAGAGCTGAGAAGGTTGGCAAGTACAAAAATGAAGACCTTAAAGAACTTGGGACTGAAAGCAATAACGTCGGACTGATCCTCTTCGACGGACGACGATGGTTCAGCCTCGGCAGTTAGTCGGAGGAGCTTCTCTACCGTTACCTCGACATCAATTTCAAGAAAGAAGCAAACTACTCGGCATCAGCGGCAGGTTGTGTCTCACCCCCAGAAGACAGTTGGAAAGAACTTCTCAATAGCCTTCTCAGCCACGAGCTCAGCATCAATCTCCTGAAGAGTTTGATCAAAGCTTTTCTCGGCGATTGGCACCTCGGCGTTTTGAAAGCAAGGATTGAAAGCAAAACTCTAGAAAAAGACACAGAAAACAGAAACAAGAATGTAATTCGTAAATCAAAAATGGTGATGAAGCTATCAGGAAATCAAGACAACAAGATTGCACAGGTGTGTCAAGCCAAGAACAGTGGTAGAAATCAACAGATGTGTGAACAGTGTGTATTCAAGAAGATGATTTGGAAACAACGGGTAAAACAACAATGGTGGTTAACAATGAAGCAGAGCTTCTTGGAAAGCAACAAGAAGTAAAACCAGGAGGAAAAGTGGCTTACCAGAAAGAGGGAAGCCGAAATGAGAATTGCCGAAGTCTGACGACGGATGCGAAAATGACAGAATAACGTAAAGCTTCACCGGAAGAGAGAAACGAAGATAGTTGCAGAAGCTTGAAAGCTTGAAACAAATGACGGATTTAAGCAAAAGAGCTAGAAAGAGAAGAAGCCACAGGATTAAATGAAAAAAGAGAAAAATAGTCAAGAAAACGACAAAGTTCAAGAATAAAGCCAAGTGCACAGGCACTAAGTAAGTATGTGAAGAACAAGAAAGTAATGAACTAGACGTGATGCTAGCAACAGAAAGCGGATATGACAAAGAACAATTCCAGGCATTTTAGCAATAAGAAATCAAAAACTTGAAGACAGACGAAAACAGAAGGCCACGGATGGCAAATAAACAGATTCAAAGTAAATCAGAAGAGTTATGAAAGATTGAGCTTAATAAAAAAGTAAGAATTTATGAACCTACCAAATGAACGCCGATATGAAAATCGCCGGAGTCAAATAGATGACTGGAATTCGGGAACCCACCGAAGAATGTGAGTGGAGCAGTTGTAAAGCTCTTAGAGTTTACGAATTAATAGAACAAGAACCTCGGCTAGGAGGTGTGATCTCGAGCAGCTTGGAAAGCATGAAGCTTGATACTTAACAGAAGTGGACAGTAAAGTCCAACTTAGAAGGTGAAACACCTGCAACATGTGTACCAAGTCGGGGACAAGAGACATCGGGCAGATGAGTGCTTGGGACCAGTAGTGTCTTTTACCGAAGCTGACCTCGAGATGGTCCAGCACCCGCATAATGATGCTTTGGTAGTATCCCTCCAGGTCGAGGAATGCTAAGTGAAACGCATCCTGATTGACCAAGGAAGCTCTTGTGACATCATGTATGTCCGATGTTACAAGGAGCGTGGCCTTCATCCAGACGATATGGAGCAACCCAATGGTCCAATGGTTGGGTTCAATGGAACGCCGACATGGGCACTGAGAGTAGTAAGCTTGGAGGTGCAGGCTGGCACCAGAAAGATCACAACAGAATTCACCATCAGTCTGTGGCTAAGAGATCAACAAACAATTCCTTGTTTATGCCCTGATGCAATTTAATATGGGTCTTATAACATTTTCTTAAAACGTAATCCTGAGTCCATAGAAGTCAGGCTTCTATTGGGACTAGGATTGTATTGGCTATAAAAGAGAGGCACCCCCATGGGTCTAAGGTATGCTTTTTGATACTCAAGCTTGTGAGTTTAGTACTTGATTTATCTTTGAGAGATATACTGACTTGATCGTCGGAGTGCCCCCGGGTGGAAGAACCACCGCTGGAGCCTTTTCTTTCTGTTTCAGGTTGCTAAAGCCATCTATTCTGCCTGTGCTCTCCAGTTGATCACTAAGCAGGCAGGGTGGTCAGATTTTCAACCACACAGAATGAAACATCAGATTCATTTACCATCATGAACATCAGATTTCAATAATCTAATGTTTGCCATCATGAACATCAACGTCAGAACATCATGAACAAACATCGTGAAAAATTAGATTTCAAACATCAAAAATTAGATATCAAACATCAGATTTCAAACATCAAAAATTACAATAACGTGAAAAATTACAATGTTTGAAACCAGATTTCAAACATCAGATTTCAAACACTGTGAAAAATTACAATAATGTTTCAAACATTAGATTTCAAACATCTAATGATCATCAGATTTCAATAATGTTTGAAATTGTAGAATGAAACATCAGATTCATTTACTATCATGAGTATCAGATTTCGATAATCTAATGTTTACCGTCATGAACATCAACGTCAAAACATCATGAACAAAACATCATCGAATCTGGGTTTTTGAATCCCACCGGCGATACAACAAAAATTACAATGTTTGAAATCAGATTGCAAACATCGTGAAAAATTACAATAATGTTTCAAACATTAGATTTAAAACACAGATCATGAGAGGTCGACAAAGCCGAATCGAAACAGATCCGATCCCTGCGACGTGTGAAGGTTTTGTGCTCTATTGTTGTTTTTCTTTTGGTTTTTGTTTGGTGACAAATTGCACTACAGGGGATCTCAACTCAATTGAGAACTTCAAGTATGGTATGGGTTAGTTTTTGATTTCTCAACTACCTTTCAATAACGGAGCAAATTTGATATCTCAGCAAACCTATCTATGGCGGTAATTTTTTATTGCGATCACAGATCTCCTTTTTTTTTTCTTTTCTTTTTTAAACCAATTTTCCTGGAAATATTTGAAATAATTTTAATGTTGTTTTGATGATGACGTTTGATGTTGTTTGATGATGATGTTGTGAGGTTTGATGTTGTTTGATGATGATGTTGTGAGGTTTGATGTTGTTTTGATGATGATGTTTGATGTTGTTTTCATGATGATGTTGTGATGTAAAAAAAAGGACTAAATGGTTTATAAAAAAGCACTCAGGATTAGATGGAGTAACATTTTTTCATATGGGACTTATGAGTAATTTCTCCAATATATTAACATTTTATTTAATTTCACACACATTTTCTCTTTCTCTTTCTAAATCTGTTATCAAATTCCCTTGTCTCATTTACCACATTATATATAAATTGTCAGGTCAGATTTATTTCAAGTTCAAATTTAAAATTCAGCGTCATATTTAGGCTCGTTGACTCTATCACAAGTCATGATTCGATAATTCAAAATATTTTTTTATATCATTTATAAAAAAAATTAGATTGATCCATTGATCATAACCGTTTCAATTTATTACATTTGTTTGTGAAAAAATAGGCAAAAATGTGTTTTATAAATAAATTATATATAAATAAATCAATTTATTTTGTTAGTTTAAATTTTATTAAAAATAAATAAATAAGTATATAATTAAGGTAGAGAAAGTCAACATTTCCTACGTTGTCAAAATCGTTAAGCTGCAGCAAATACCGTTCTCTATGTGTGTCTCTCTCTCTAAATGGGAAAGAGAGTCGTTTCTGAGATCTGACCCATATTTTTACCTCTTCTCTGTCAAACGGGTCTCCTGAAAATCTCCTCCCACTCTGTTTTTTCCCCATTTATAGTTTCCTCCATTTTTGCCTCTCTTTCTTATCCTCAATTCTTTCCCATTTCTCTCTCCTTTCTTTTGACATTTTGCCCCTTTGCTCTCTGTTTTCTTGTTCGATCCATTCCCGATCTCGATCCTTCACGAGGTAGATTCTAATCAATTGTTTTCGATCAATTTGAGCTGGGTTTTTGAAATCTTGGTATTGTTTTGTATAAAGATTTGATCTTTTTGATGGGGTTTGTTTTGATTGTATTGATGTTGGGTGATTTGGATTGCGGTATATCAGCTTCGAGGTAGATGATAATTAATTGTTTTTTGAGTAATTTGAGCTGGGTTTTGAAAAACTTGGTCTTGTTTGTAGAAAGATTTGATCTTTTTGATTGGTTGTTTTGACTGTATTGATGTTGGGTGATAAGGATAGCGATAGATCAATTTTTCACATCGCTAATCATTTTTGATAGTCAATCGGTTTATCAGATATATGCAATGCATGTGCAATTATATATCTCTATCAATCGTTATCTACTTGTGTATGTACTCTTGAATTTTTTTGAATGGTTGTTGGTATTTGTTTAATCACGGTGCAATCTCGTCTAAATTGGCTTGTGTTTTCTTTATTTCTTTCATAGTTTTGAATGATATCTTGAATCTTGTATTAGTAAATGGTTTGTAGATCAACCTGTTCGGTTTTTCTGAGCTAAGATCTGTGATTAGATGAAAGATTAAAAAAATCTAGAGCTTCTTGGCCTGTTATATTTCTTGATTTAGTTTGAAGACGATTGGCATAGATCCTGCTCGATCATATGTTCGCAGTGAAAAAATGGGTCCCAACAGTTTACAGTTGTTTAATTGTTGGTGGATTTTCAAACTGTTTTTGATTGATTGAATGTGTTTTTCTTTTCTTTGTTTTCTTGATTTGTGTGTTTTTTAAGGAATCGGGATCTTGTAAGGGTGTTTGTGTGTTAACTTCTGGTGGAAAAATATGGACGTGGAGGTTGTGAAATCTGAGTTGGTGCCAGTTTCTGTGGAATCTGGGAGTGAAGAAAACAGCTCTTTGTTGCATGAGAAGGAAAATGGGACATTGAATCAGGAAACCGGGCTTAATGAACCCATAAAATTTGGTTCACATGGCATGGATGAGCCGGTTGATAGAGAAGGAAGCAACATCCCTGTGGCTGACTTCCCAAAGGATGTGGGTGATGAATGGCCTGAACCTAAGCAGATCCATTCTTTTTATTTGGTCAAGTATCGAACATATGAGGACCCAAAACTGAAAACCAAAGTGGAGCTGGCCGATAAGGACCAGCAAAAGAAGAATCAAGCAAAGTTTCAGATTAGTGACAAATTCTGGGCTAAAAAGGTATGCTGAACTTTATTTTAAACTAATTTTGTTACATTTGTTACCCTTGAATGAAGCTCATAATAATCAAGCTGGTGATAGATGATAGAATGGTTTATTGGAGTGTGTTAATTGTATGCAATTTTTTTTGTTGGTTTTCAAAGAAAAATAGTATCTTTTCATTTTAATTCTATATATGCATGCATCTAGTGGAGATCAATGTAGGACAATCTTACACACACACACATATGTATATGCACTTAAACAGGTTAAGCATGGTTAACACATTCAAAGCTCAAGAGCTTTTTCCAATTCCATTTTGAATGACTAGCTGTTAAGAAATAAAAAATGACAAAATTGAACATTGTTCACAAAAAAGTTTGATCTTTTATTTGTACAATTAAAACAACCATGAACTTACTATATGATTAATTGGAAACTATAACAAATATTTATCTTCAATTAGTTGGCTTGGATCATGCAGCTAGGTCTTTGCTAATTGGCAGTCTAATCACTTAACTTCTGAGTCTAATATTTTTCTTTCTGAAATACCAACATTAAAGTTGCTTTTGTGATGCGATATCTGTTGTCTGAGTATTGTTTTTTATTAATTAATATTTCTTTATCAGAATTTGGAGTCAACATTTGATCAAAATAACGTGTGAGTTAATTGAATGAAGCCCTGGCCAACAATCATTCTTATATCTATAAATTGTTTGACTTTACTGCATTTATTTTCTGTCTTCTGTAGGCAGAGAGAAGTCGGGTGATTGAGCTAATGAGGCCTCTGAACGATGAGAATAGGCAGTACTGGAATATCGTGAATGGGAAGAGAAAAGAGATGGAACCTTTGCATGAGGCACTGGGCAAGTTGCGTAACACAAACAGTGTCAATCGTGAGAAAGGTGTTGGTATATGTTCATCTGAGGAAGAGCTTAATTATCTTGTAAGCTTCTAATATTTAGCTTTTTGGATCGTTTGAACTCATTTGCAAGTTTTGTGCTGCAGGGACTCCTTGCCTTTCTTTTCTAATTTTCAAATGAAAAATTACCATTACATATTTAAAGCTGTAGTGTTTCGTTGTATTTGCTTTTATACCCTTCCTTGGTAATTGTTTAATGCAGATCAAGAGCTTGGAATACCGTATTCAACATGAAAGTATTCCACTTTCTGAGGAAAAGAAAATCCTTAAGGAAATTAAACAGCTTGAAGGGACAAGGGAAAAAGTACTTGCTAATGCTGCTATGAGGGCAAAGATTCAAGACTCGATGGGTGAAAAAGATGTCATTCAGGACCAGGTTAAAGTAAGACAATTCTCTTTATTCATGTCATCCTACTCCCTTTACTCTCATATCTGCTATTGCTAATAGTGGCTGCATTGTAGCTTATGGGAGTTGATCTGGATGGAGTTAGAAAGGAACAGCAGGTAGTTAAGGCCAAGATTAAGCAACTTACTGACGAAAAGGAGGTCTTAGAAAAAGAAATTAATTCTCTAGCCGATGAGCTGGATGCTGCAACAGAGAAATATAAAACTGCTTATAAAACTTTTTCTGATTTGAAGCAACAGCTTAATGCAGGGGTATGTTGGTTTATTTTCTAATACAACTTTTTGTCGTTTTCTTTGGTTTGGACTTAGAACTGCTTTATGGTTTATTTGTCAATGTTATTACAAATATTGATTTTGTTAAATTTGTGTTACTATCTTGTGGAATATCTGTTTGTTAATTTTCCTTAGTGTTGGGGTAGTGGGGATAGTTAAATTGTTTCCAGGGCTGCAAACGAGTCGAGTAGTAAGTTGTTCAAACTTGGCTTGAAAACTTAATGAGTTTCGAAACATGTTGAAGCTTGTCTTGTTTATATAACGAGTCAGTTTCAAACAAGCTTTTATCAAGCCGAATATGAGTTGAGCTCGAGTAGTTTGTTTATTTATTTATTTATCTTTTATAGTGCATATATGCTTATTTAGCCAAATAGTAGGTTGTTCAAGCTTACCTTGAAAACTTAACGAGTTTTAAAATGTGTTCCCAGTTTACTTGCTTACATAACAAGCTGATCTCGAATGAGTTTTTGAGCCGAACATGAGTCAAGCTTGAGTACTTGGTTTGTTTTGCAGCCGTAATTGTTTCTTCAAAATAGTCAGGGATAAGATTACCTCTTCAGTGATGCTTGTTTCTGACCAATGCCTAGACAACAATTTTGAAATAACCAGGGATCCTTGGGCACTTTTGTGTTAGGAAATCTGCATTTGGTTGAGTAATCATCCTCACAATAAATAAGCGATTGTAGTTTATCAAATGCAAGTATTGATGTTGCGGCTGAGGCATTTTTAGTCAGCTATATGAAAGTTCTTATTTCTCTGTTCTCCTTTTATTTTATTTATTTACTTTTATTTATTTGTTTCTTTTGGCCACTGGTATATGTATAGGTATTTGCATGTATATGTTAATAAATATGTTCGATACAAATCAAGAGAATTTATTTTTCAAGTCTCCTAGGTGCGTGACTAAAGACATTTTGTAATGGGAGTTGTTGCCCTACCTCCCATTACAAAACTCCATACTGAGCTGTTATGTAACTTCCTTATCATCATCAATGTCTTTGTTTTTTTTTTTTTTTTTTTTTTGGGGGGGGGGGGGGGGTGTTTGGGTGTTAAATCAACTATCAAGATTAGCCCTTTTTTTCTTCCTTTGGCTCATTGCCCAGTGAGTCAGTGACAGCCTTTTCCCCTGCTCCTTTGGGTATTGCCCACTGATTTTTCATAGTTATATGGACTAAGTTTCATCACGTTTTATGATAACCAGGTCTTGTCTTTCCTTAGATTAATTTAAAATACTAAAAAATCAAGGAATATTAAATATGTTTATATGAGAGAGTTGTTAAATGGGAAAGATGGGAGTGGATGTCATTATGACTTTTTGCCCAAGGAAAATTGAGACAGCTAAGAAAATGATGGAAGTAACATGATGGTAGCATATACTAGATACTTTGGAAATTTATGAGGATCTTTGATTGTCTTCCATCCCACTTTAAAGTGGCCACTAACCGTATGGGAACTCATTCTTTCCCTACATTTTTAATATCTTTTTGATAATAATAAATTTTATAGGGACGGGATTAAGTGAATGCCAAAAATCCAAAAAAAGAAAAAATTAATCATCCATTTAGTCAAGTTATGTTAACACCAATTGCAAATGCAGTACCTATGGACTATTGATCCTTCACATGCATTCCTGGTTCAATTCCTTACGGGTAATTTAATTAAATTTGACTTGAATTGGTAGAATAAATTTTTTTCTTCTTGTCCAATTCGTTATGTATAATTGATGCATATGACCACAGACCCAAGTAAGATTTTGCAATTTGCAGGGGGATATACTTAATGATTTATTTGGATTTTGAAGATTATTAGCAGTTCATAAATCCTGGATACAAAATGAAGTTATTTTAAATTTTTTTTTTTACTATTAAGTTTCTCAAGCATGTGGTGGAAAGAACCTATATGTTATTTTACTTTATTTTCATAATTTTTTCTCCTTCCCTTATGTAGAACGTCCCCGAACGTCCCGGGAGGAAATCCCCCCCGTTTTGTTCATTGGGCTCACTACAGTTCAGGACTCAATGTCACGGTCCTGTATCTAATCTCGCAGAGTGTAATGCAAGACCGATGAATCATCAAAGAGTCCAAATCCGGCAAATCGTTTTTGAAAACATATATTTTGAAAGAAGTGCCAAAATGGACCGCTTTGCCAGATAGAGAGTTGCTACCTAAATATTTTATTTTGAAAAATTTAAGAAACCCTGACTCGTTGCCTAAGGCCACGTGTCCGTCATCACCAAAGTTGCCTCGGCTCGGGAACTTGGGTACGATTGGGGAAGGTCACTTCGTGAGCACCCCCGCTCGCCCGATCAAAGATCGGCCTCTACTAACCATGATATATAATTTTGAAAACATTATGTGTTCTTATTCCGGTTATTAGCCTAGATTTACTATGTGATGCGCACAACATACAAGTATAGACTGGGTTGCCTGAATTGGAACAAAACATCTCATGTTTGTTTATTTGAAAATGGTTTGATGGTGCTACTCGTAAGTAGGCTAAGACGTGGATTTGAAAGTGAGCTTAAAACTCGTATTTAATGAATTGTTCCAATCCAAATAACTCAACCTTCACCCACAGGCATTCAGGCGGTTACATCATATAAGCACATAGTCTCATGGTAAGCATGCTATCATGGCAGTCACTCACACACATGCAAGGATGCTAAAGCATAAAAGTTTACCTGGTACTCCAAGCCAAAACAGAAGCTGATTAGAAATCATGTATGATCCTAAATATATAGAAATGCCTAATGCAACACATGCAAAATGCAACTAAGATAGGCTCGGCTATTCTAAGATGGCATATGAAACGCTACAGCTGACACGTATTCAATTTGGAATTGAAATACAAATGCAGTTAGTATGGTGCGCCGAGCCCGGTGCATGTAAGACAGATAAATGATGCAAACTCTATTATCAGAATCTTACGATTCGCGATTCGATTCATGATTCGATTCGCAATTTTTGCAAAATCGATACGAATGTATGGGTGAATCTATTTTGGAAGTGAATCTCTAGTGAATCGCACGATTCACAATCGATTCACGATTCGATTCACTTTTTACGATTCATGCAATTTTTGAAATTATTGTGTACGACATATTTTCGATTCTTTTTTTCTCCATCTTTTTAGTGAAAATGGCATAATACAATTTTTAATAGCGTTTAATACCAAAATAACCAACATATATACATGATTTATTGTTATTTTAGTGATCATGGAGATTTTAATAGGATCCAATCAGATTCAATCAGACCCAACATATTTTTAACCTTTCTTCTCATTTTCTTTCCTTTTAAAAAATCATAATATATCTTCTAAAGATATTTAAGATAAAAGTTACACTATAAATTATCCATTACTATTTTATTAAATTGAATATCACATGTGTGAGGTCAGTTATACTTTTTAAAATGTTTCAGGCTTTAAAATAAAAGATTCTAAATAATTCCTTCTTATTATTTGCTCACTGTTACTTAGAAAAGTATATATGCTTATTGTCCAAATATAAACATTGTTGTTAATTATTGTTACTTTAGAAATTGATAGTTTGTCTATTTGGTTACTATCTTTATTAAGAATGGCTGATAAGAAATATCTAAAAAAGAAAAAGGCAAGATGGTAATATTACATCTTTATTAAAAATGGTTGATAAGAAATATCTAAAAAAGAAAAAAAATGTAATATGGTGATCTTACATAGGAACCTTGGTTAACTTCTTACCTATTAAATTACGTGATTATTATTCAAAATAACATTTTTATTGATTTAAGTCTAAATATTTTATATTCATAAGATATATTTAACATCTAAATGTGTAGATATATGTTTTTAAGTAATTTTGAAAAAGTGACCGAATCTTTACGATTCACGATTCGATTCGATTCGCGATTCGGTACAAGACCATTTCGATTCACGATACGAATCCCGATTTGACAACTATGGATGCAAACATGCTATCATACTGTATGCTAATTGAAACATGCCCTAATCTAACTATCATAAGCTGGTAAATAAAAGGGAGAAAGACGTGGGGTTGGAAGACATACATCGCACGCACGCATGCACGCACATTTATTACAATTGTGCCCTCGCTCGGAGGGTCCAAAAGAATAATACAGTCCGAATAAATAGTACAGTCCGAAATGAATAATTAAATATTACAAAACCCTAATTAATTAACAAATTAATCTAGGAAAGCGAGTAAATTAGCATACAAGCCTATGGACTGCCTCAGCTCTGTTCCGAATGATGGGAGATGCATGCTTGAGTTGCCTGGCACGGAAATCCATTGCGATGCCCCGATTCGCCTCTGTTTGCAATTGTTTTCGGAATATTGCGCAACGCTCCAGAAGGCCGCTGATTTCTGATTTACTGCAACAGAGAGCAACAAAGGGGCATGGCAAAGTATTTCACATATGTATGCATGATTACTCTTCAGGGAGTGTAGTCCTCGATCCTCGTGCCACCAATCACGCATATCGATGCATGATGGCCGAGGAGCCAAATTGCACGACTCAATATGAGATGAATGCACATGAAAACACAACAAAACCTAAACTCCATCACGGGTAATCCGGAGTGTCGGTGACGGGGAATTGAGACACGTTCCGTCACTCGGAGTATGAAACGTCCCTCGTTTTCTGTGCTCGGGCTAACTCCTATCCCAAACACAATGCAAATGAGATGGCATACACAATGCTCTAAAATGCAACCTAGCATATGCAATGCTATGAAATGGCATACACAATGCTCGATGTAATATAGTATACACAATGCTCTAAGATGCAACCTAGCATACGCAATGCTATGGATTGAAATGGCATACACAATGCACGATGGACTTATACCAACATGAGTGGATCTCAACTACACTCACATCAGTGGCCATTAGATGAAAATGAAACAACCGAAATGCGTGCACACATGCACGCATACCGAGGACCAAACCTAAGGCATCAAATGCCACTCTACCAAA